CTTTCACGGCGTCATCTTTCTTGTACATTTCCTTGACCTTGTCCTTGTCGACAGTAGTGTCGGCTAATTGAGAGATGTGGCAAAGACCGCTGACGTTGTTCGAGTCGTCAACCACCAGGAAGACACCGAAGTCTTCTACATGCCGGACCTTAGCAGCAACAACCTGACCAGCCTTCAGATCGCTGAACTCGACCGGCTCGGTGTAGGTTCCTTGGACGTGAGAGGCCTTCAAGCTCAGCTGTGGATTGCGTTGGTCTGGCTTGTTCGAGATGACCTTGCCAGTGACGAGTTGGTCGACATGGAAAGCAGACTTCCAATCTTTGATGTACTCGTCTGAGAGGTGGCTGACACGAACGTAGGCTTCGACATGCGGCCCTAGACGGACGTAGATACCATTGTTGGCGACGTGCTTGATGAATCCACGGACAACCTGATGCACTTTGAGTTGATCCCTGTCCTTGATCTCGGGGTCTTTGATCGGTAGTGAAGAGCTCAATACCCTAGAAGGCCGAATAGACAATCCCAGCTTCTTGTTTGGAAGGTCGATGTCGATTACACACACGCGCAAGACGTCGCCGACTTTGAACTCGCTAGGCTTGGCCTTGTCGTAGTCGTCTGCCAACTGCTCTTGGAATATGGGTGCAGCAATGTTGTCGTTGATCTGGACGACGATGGATGTGTCGTGTAGCTTTGTGACACGTGCAGGCAAGATGTGACCTACCTTCAAGTCTTGAAGGGTCAATGACTTGCCAGTCACATTGGTCGCAGCTGTTAGATCCAACTTTCCGGCTGCAACGTCGACCGCCTTGACGCGAACCTTGAGAGCAGAGCCAATGGGGAAATTCTCTGCAACGTCCGAAAGCTTCTCCAGGTCGTCAGTCAGATCAAAGTAATCAATGCGACCGCGAACGTTGGCGGAAATGTTCACCCAGACGTAACGCTCGGCAATGTTGTTGATGAAGGCGACATGAGATGATCCGGGGGTGATTTTGTCAAGGCTCAACACGTCGGCTTCAGTCTTAACTTTATCGGTGTTTGCGGTCATCTCGAAAGTGGGCGTCTTGTTGTTTGATCGGGAAGTGATGGGGAGGAAACGGAAGTTGCGGGCATCGTGCCTTCCGAGAACCCTGGCCTGGATCTTGTCGTTCATCTTGAAATGTGCTGTTGGGTGCTTCTTGTCTGGGATGCTATCCCAACCATCGAACAACTCTGAAACCGAAATACGTCCTGGAACATTTGCCGCAAGCTCAACGTTGAGCTGTGTGTCCTTGACCGATCGAATGCGAACTGTTGCTAGGGCGCCAAACTTAATGTCGTCGGTAGATGTGATCTTGGGGTCGACAGGTTCTACCAAGGCCTCCCCTTTCGAGGCTGGAGCATCAACGACGTTGGCCGCTTCCGGATCAGATTCACTCTTCATCGACAGCCAAAAGAATCCTTTCCCAGCGTCCACATGTGTGACACGAGCAGTGACAGACTGATCCTTACGAAGACCAAAGTTTGGCGCTGAAAGCATGTCTTCCGGTAATTGCGACTTGAACAGAACACCACTTATGCCGTTGCCAAGCTCGATGAAGATCTTGTCGGGAAGAATGCCGCGCACAAAGCCGTGTACCGTCTCGCCAGCTTGGAGATCCTCAATGCTGATTGCCAGCTTTGAAGCCTGAGCGTCCTTTCGAAGACTAGGCTTGTTCGAGACTGTTGCAGTCCTAGACTTGCCATGCTTTGTCAAGACCACAAGGTCCTCGAGAGTTCCACCTACCCGAATCTTCTTCATGGTCGAAATGTCCTTCTTCTCCGACCCGTCGGTTAGGTGACCTATGCGGAGGGTAGCCTTGACACCATGGCCAATGTCCAGAGTAGCGGTTTCATCGGACTTCTCGATGACGGTTCCCTTGACGATGCCACCAGGGTTCAGTGCGTTGAAAGCAGCCTCTTTGTTGATATCAACGGCAGCGGGATCCTTGCAGGATACCAAGAGCTGGTTCTCTTTTGCGTCTACAGAGACAATACGGACGTTGACGACCTGACCGGCCGAGAAGTGTCGCGTGGCATCCTCGATGTATGCTTCGCTCATCTCCGCAGCTGGGAGCCATGCCTTCACGTCGCCGTAGAAGCGTACGGTGGCACCATTCTTGCGAACGCTGACCAAGATACCAGGGCCAGTAGCACCCTTGGAGAGCATGGAGTAGTTTGTCCATGGCTTAACATCTGAGTTGACGAGAGACTTCTTTAGTGTGAGTTGGATCTGATGCCTGGCGGGTTCCGTGTAAAGCACACGGGCTGTGACAGGCAGTCCTTCCCTAAACTTGCGCTCCGGATGTTGTAGACGGACGTCGGCCAGATGCATCTCTGGGACTAAACCGGTGATGCCTTCGGCGAGGTGAACAAGAACGGCGGTAGCTCCCTTCTTGTCAGCAATGAGCTTGTGCACCTTGCCCTTGACAACTTCACCAGCCTTAATATCCTCAATGCGAAGGAAGGGCTGATCAAGGATCTTCTGCTCGAGCGAAAGTTGGAAGAGTCCGTCCAAAGCATTGTAGCCTACAATCCGTGCTTTGTGCTTTGAGTCAAGCTTGTATGCGCCAGCCTCTTCGGAGAGAACGTCGACCTTGTCGTCAGAAAGTCTCGAAACGTGCGCGAAACCGACAACATCTTTGATGCCGAGATCGAAGAAAGCACCGTGGCTTGGCGCTACTTTGATAACTTTCGCGCTGTCGACGATGGTGGATATGGGGAGGAGGTCGATCGGAGGCTTGCGCTCCTTGGGTTTGCCAGACATGCGGGTGGACAGACTAACCACATGGTCTAGCAATGATACACCGACTTTCCTAGGCTCGGAGTCTGGACATGTGAACAGGACACGGGCCTTAACTTTGGAGCCGATCTTGTGCTTGGTGGAGATGTCGGCAGCCTTCTCAGTCGCTCCAGAATGGTATGCATCGGCAGTCGCGTCTATGAGACCGAGGATCTTGCCGGTCAGCGTGCTGGATGTAGTGTCGGTAACAAGTACATCGACGGCGGTTCCTGGGAGGAAAATATCGACAGTGGGCGCTTCAGTCAGCGTGTTGCCCTTGGTCAAGTTGCCTGCTTTGGTGTGGTCTGCGGAGAGCTTGACAATGCGCCCATCCGAGTTAAGGCCGGTAACCAAGCACATGAAGACGGCGCCTTCTTGTACCTTGGCATGTTGCACTTTGGGACCTAATTCGCCTTTTGGCAGGAAGCCCTTCAGGCTGCTATCGTCGAGGCCGAGGTCCATGACCAAGCCGTGGTCCTCATTGCTGACTACGGAAGCCTGCACCATGCTGTTTACGGGTATCTTGCGCTTGCTGAGGCCCTTGTTCACCAGCTTGGGATCGATGGAGAGCTCCAGCCTCTTTCGTGCTCTTGCACTGGCGTCGCTTGTCGCTGTGATGCATGCGCGGACGTACTGTCCTACCGAGAACATGTCTTCTAGGTGCACATCTTCGAAGTCTTCATCGTCGCTTCCTTCTTGCTTGTCCGCCTCCTCCTCCTTGAGGAGTTTCTCTAGCCTCTCGTTGAGCTTGTCGGACACGGCGGTGAGCGGGACGTAACCAACGAGGTTGTTCGTGAGCGCGAGGACGATGTCTTGGTGAGATATATCTGTGATTTGGCCGAGAATGATGGTTCCAGGCGACAATTTCTGCAATCGTTAGCATGACCCTCGCATTGCGCAGAGACTGGCGTACCTTGTAGCTCAGACCCTCTGCCCTCACAGTGTCGTCCTTCTCTCCACTGTCATGCGACTTCTTGCTCTTCTTGAGCAGCGGCTTCTTCTTGGACTTGGCGGCAGATCTCTCCTCGTCCTCAGATCCCATGTCGCTGAAGCCATCGTCGCCGCCGCTGGGTCGCTTTTCGCCAGACTGCTCGAAAAGAACATCCTGGTTCGCCTTGATCGAAATCTGCTTGTGCTCAAGCGGCGTCAAGACGCTGGCGCCTCCTCTGGGGAACGACTTCTCCTCATCTTTGAAGACACTGGGCTTGGGTGCGGCGCTCTCAGGCTTCGACTTGGCCGGTGATGGCTGCTCGGCATCGGATTTCCGTCGCTTCGCTGATCGGTCGGTGGATGCGCCCTTTGCCTTTTTCGATGGCGCGGCGCCCTGCTCTGCTTTTCGTTTGATTGCGCCCATGATGCGCAAGTTCTCCGGTGGTGGAGAGGGTGGTGGTACTCAGGTTTGCGCCAAGAGTTCGAGAGTCGCATATGCTCTTCGACTTTTTTGGTGGGTCCATGCGCGCAGATTCTCCGACCCCCGACGACAGGGAAGCCGCGGCTGGCACGTGAGCTAGAGTGGCAGGGCAACGCGCGCGAAAGAGAGCGACTGCTCGATGCAACAGCTTTCACGAGTTGTAGGAAGTCCTAGACCACCAAATGAAAGTAAATTTGCATCCACGGTGTTTTCTGCGGCAATTCCAGAACTTTTAGCTATGTTGTACGGCAAACGGAAGGATATCTCGAGGGAAGACCATGGCCATTAACGCCCAGAACGGCATAGTGCAGCACGTCGGTCGCGCCAGCTCTTCGCGACGTGCTTTGGCCGTGCGCCTTCCTCTCCAACCTCGCCGTCATTTATGGGCATTCGTCCTCTATTACTATCGGCATCTTCAATTGCTCGCGTGTCTTCGCTTGGTCGTTTATTGGTGTTGCTTGTGTATGTGTACTGCTAAAAAGGAACATGTCTTCTCCATGCGCCCCTCGAAGTCTGCTGCTCCAAGAGCCCACGCCTGAGCTCTTTTCATCACCACCTCCACCCTCCTCCGCGACTGTTTGCTCTCGCAAACCCAAACGGCCACCGCCTATCACGCCCAAGCGCTTTACACGCTTTTTCACCCCGCGAAACTCCAAAGATGTCTCATCACGCACCACCCTCACGAGGTCGGGTCGCCAACTACAAGACATCACACGATCTGCTCTCAATCGCAGCCGGGAGACGCGGAGCACCCCACGCAAGACAGTCAACTTCGTCGACATCGAGAACCCAATGCGAACCCCCCAGAGCAGCGCGCGGAAGCGGAAGATACCCTACCTGTCGCCCGCTAGCTCACCAGCCCAGTCGTCACCGTCGAAGCGATCGCGTTACGTCACTCCGCCTGAAATCGATATACTTCAAGACGAGCTCGACTTGGATGATGAGGAGCCTGCCATATACCCTGCGCCCATCCGGAGGTTAACAACATTGGGTCGGCCGTCAAGAACACTGCAGCGGTCGTTCGGTGGAATACTGGGTGTAGGAAGAGGGTTTCGACGAGACCATGGCGCCTCATGGCAAGACCAGGCAGCCAATTTCTACAGTGGCGCAGACGACCTACATCAGTTGTCGCAGGGCGCGCCGCCCTTCTGCACGGCCAGTTGCAACAGTATGTCATTCACTCATTACCCTACGTCATCACGATACTGACAACCCCTAGCCAACTCTATGCTCGCAATAGGCGATGAAGACGGATACATCCACCTACAAGACTCCGAAGGCGACTTCTCCAAACCCCATGTGTCATGGAAAGCCCACTCCAACGCCATCATGGACGTGCAGTTCTCCTCAGACGACCTACACCTCGCCGCCGGTTCTGGAGATCAGACTGCACAGATTGTCGACGTTCGCACCCAACAAACTCTTGCTGTGCTGGCGAAACACAAGTCGTCAGTAAAGCAAGTCCGCTTTCAGCCCGGCGACGACAAGATGGTAGCGACGTCAAGTCGAGACGGTGCAGTACAGATTTGGGATCTCCGATGCAAGGGCAACCAAGGCTCAATACATTCAGCCTGGGGCTCCGATGCACCGTATGCCAGTGTTGTACGCACGCTGGCTTCAGCGCACGCGGACATCAGTCTCCCAACATCCACATCGTCGGCCACCCGATCACTCTCCAACAGCAAAACCGAAAACATCAGCCGACGGAACGACATTTCAGTGACAGCGCTTTCGTTCATGCCCGCAGGCCGCGAACACCTCCTCCTGACCGCGTCAGACGCATCGACATGCGTTAAGCTCTGGGACATCAGAGGCCGATACTCCCTGCGAGGGCCAGCCATCCCCATCGCAACCACCCGCCATCCCGAATCCCACAACCGCCACCGACACTTTGCCATCAACTCTTTGACTCTTAGCGGCGATGCATCACGACTATACGCCCTCAGCAAAGACAACACCGTCTACGCCTACTCCACAAGCCACCTCATCCTCGGCGTAGCACCAGAGCTCTCCACGACCTCCTCCTCAAAACAGAAATACTGCGGTGTAGGCCAAGAAGGCCTGGGACCTATCTACGGTTTCCGACACCAGAACTTCCACGCCGGCTCCTTCTACGTCAAGGCATCCTTGCGCAAAGCATGCGAAGACCGCACCGAGATGCTCGCAGTAGGCAGCACAGACGGCTGCCCCGTGTTGTTCCCCACCGACGAAAACTTCCTCAAACGCGAAACAAGACACGACGATGACACAGACGACCTCCCTGATATTACTGGCATTGCCGCGAAATCCGCACGACCCACGCTTGCCCGCACATCGACAAACAGCCGTTGCCTAGACACCATCCCCATCTACGAACACGGCACAGCTCTCATACGAGGACACGATGCGGAAGTCACGAGCGTATCATGGGCGCGTAACGGCAGCTTGATCAGCGTGAGCGACGACTTCCGCGTCCGACGATGGAAAGAAGGAAGTCAAGCTAGAGACCTCCGCATGGGTGGCGAGAGCGAAGGAAAGAGATGGCAGTGCGGATGGGCCGCAGTAGGAGATGGATATGACGACGACGAGTAGGATCGTCCGCGAGTTTTTGTACGACGTTGTTTATTATACCCCAGCTATTGATTGTGTAGGAATATGAATGGAGACAGGATGATGATTGTGGAATATGACTTGCTTGCCGGTGCCCATCATATGTCTCTTCAAACCATTTGACTATGTACCTTGCTGCTGTGGAACGACAACACAAGGCCTGTGACATAACACTTGGAGCCAGCCACTCTTGAACCTTTCCCGTCTTGCCCATCACACTAGACATCGACCCACCTACCCTTTCCTCAGCCAAGGTCTTCCTTCGACCATTTCATGATTCGCATCTCGATCTTCTTCTCCATCACCGTCACTCTGCTTCTCGCCAACCCCATAGAAACTTCCTGGTAACAGCCTATACGTCCGCTCATCAAATCGGTCCGCCTGTGTACTTTCGAAACTACCAAAAGACCCTGATATCACCCTGCGAGCTCCGCATAGCATGGTGCCAAAGAAGCTTGTTGGTGTAGAGGGCGGAGGAGTGACGGGTTGTACCTGGGAGTTCGATAGATCTGACCGCGGTGATGTAGACGTATTGTCCGTCGTCTGAACCGCCTCCATCCGGTGTACACGTGCTGGTAATGGCTTGATGGGCCGATCGAAGCTGCCAGGCATACTTGTACCCGTACCTCCAAGCCCTGACATCGTCTTCGACAGAGACTTGTACTCCAAGGGTGCAGCAGGGAAATCCGCTTCTTGAGACGGCCGCACCGGGAAGTTCTCCCATTGCGACGCTGTAGGTGTAGATGGAAGTGAGGTATCGTATCTCGTTGGCAGTGAAGGGTAAGTAATCGTACTGTCGAAGTATGTACTCTGCGGTAGGTCTCGTGTTGGCGTAGAAGCAGCAGTAGAGGTAGAACTAGAAGAAGACGTCGAGTTCCGCAGCGAATCAAACCGCTGTTCCAACACTTTCCCCTGCCCGTCCGCGCCACCACGCTTCCTCTTTTTTCCCCACACCTCTTCGTCTCGCTGTTTCCTCTTGACCTTGTCGTTTACATCGGCGTAGATGGTGCCGTTGAACGATTTCCACACTTCGACGCCTTTGCCGAATACGGTTTCGACTTTTCGATTTGTGTCGTCGGTCATCTTGTTGAGATACTCTTGTGCTTTGTCCTCGTTGTCTTCTTCGTCGGTTTCGGAGCCGTGCGTTGTGTCCATTATGCCGGTGTTGGAGGTGGTTATGAAGGAGGTGGAACTTCCCCCGTTTCGCCCGCGGAAGGTGTCGAGGAGTGACATTTTCCGTCGCTTTTGCGCTGGGGCGGAGGGTGGAGGGTTGGGTACGTTGTTCATGTTGTTCGATGGTGTGTTTGTGGCGCAATTCAGGAAACAATGGACGGGGTGGAATGCACTCGCGACAGGCGGGCTGTGCTACTGAGTCGATAGATGATTTCGTGAGTTCAGAATTGGTCGGTTTAGTGGATGTTCACACGAAGTTGGAGCCTAGATCTGGGTGTTTTGCGAGCTTCGATAATTGCTTTCACTGTGGTATCGAGTTGAATTCAGAGACATTGATCAGCTGACACCTCCAGGGCTGTATCGCTTGCCATAATGTCTCATGTTTCCTGCAATGTTCACAGATCGTGCCTATGCGTCCTAGTGTCGCCCTTTCGGCGTGTTCATCCAGTGTCTTTGCCCAAATGAAACCATATTTTGGATTCCTACGACGTTCATTTGCGGAGCGTCATGGTGTTTGTCGGCATCGGCCTTCGGACGAGAGATGCAAGCAGCTTCCACGGGTCAACTCTTCTAGTTTGGCTACGATGAGCGAGGTTTCGACTCCGATTGAGAGTCCTCTCTCTCTGGTGGTCCAGAAAGAAGGCAACTGGACATGACACAGCCAAACCATGAACATACAGATGATAATTCTCCAGAAGGCGAAGAGAGTCTGGATTTGAAGACGGTACCTTAGTAACTACCCTGAAAACGTGCCTCAAAGGCGTCCACTGCATCTGTGCTTGGCTAATCAAGTAGCGAAATACTGTTTAAAGAGTGAGCTTGTTTATAGGCTGGCGGCGCTGCGTTGATGGATCGGTGGTCGGGAGTTTCGTGGAGGGTCCGGAGGTCGGAACCACTGCACGTGACGGCCGACGATCGCTGACGAAACCGGCCTGCCTCCGCGGACCTCGAACTTCACGATCGCGCGACAGCGGACCGCGGACCAAGCCGTCAGGAAGCATCCCACGAACGTTCAGCTGCCGCCGTGCCTCCCGACCGCATAAGTGCGTGCAGCGTTCCGAAAGGATGCCACCCCTATCTCGATGAAGCATTCGATCGATCCGATGTATGAGGGTGGCACAGTCGATCGCAGCTTACTCGCCATCACTCATCCTGCAGCGCAAGCACCATCCTCTTACCCCAAGTAAGCTGGGCATGCACTGATCGCCGCTAAAAAAGCCTTCGGGACAGAGCCGTCACACGTCAATCCTTTTAGTGGCTGTCAGAACATCCAACGAGGATGCTTTCAATCGCAAACGGCAACTTGCCCTTACAGATCTTCTGCAGGCCATCATTGCGACAATGCATAAGGCTATAGCATCGCCGACTTGTATTCGCTTAAGATGTCCGCAGATCATGGGACTGTGTCATACCTAGTGAAGTACAGTCCTACAGTATAAAAGATGGATGGCGATGTGTGTTTTCGCTGTGTCAGAGGTACTTCGTTTAGCACCACAACCCAACAAGATGCGCGTATCCGCAACGACAGTCAGTCTCTTGGCCTCTTTGATCTCAGCCGACCTTGACAGTCCAAGCTTACTACAGCAATTCTACGCTCCTGGGCGGTTACTTGGTAACTCCTTCGGAAACCCTGGCGTTAACGCGACGTACGACTATGTCGTCGTTGGAGCTGGCTTGGCCGGCGCTCTCACGGCATCCCGGATTGCAGAGGCGTTGCCGAACATGACCGTCGCAGTCATTGAAGCGGGCTCTTTCTATGAGATATCGAACGGTAACTACAGCCAGATGTGAGTAAATGCGAAATGGTATATCAGGCGTACATGTTGACTGTGAAACAGTCCATACTATTCGACTAAGTATGTTGGTCCAAATCCCGAGGATTACCAGCCGTTGATAGATTGGGGTATCTTCACCGAGCCTATACCTGGTGCCAACGGGAGACGCTTTCACTATGCGCAGGGGAAGACACTTGGGGTATGTTCTGATCTTGAACAAGTGAAGCTGTTCAAGAAACTGACTTTGGGCAAATGTGTAGGGTAGTTCGGCACGGAACCAAGAGATTTATCACAGGTAATATCTTCCATGCGTACTTGCACTGCACGGTCTGACTGAGCTCCACAGAGCGACTAAAGGCTGGTATGAGTCGTTCGCAAACCTCACTGGAGATCCCGCCTACCTATGGGAAAACATGTTTCCCTTCATGAAGAAAAGCTTCTCGTTCACACCCCCAGATTCTCGTTTCCGCGCGAAGAACGCAAGCAACGTCAACTACACGCTTTCTGCTTTCGACGTCCCGGGAGGCCCTGTTCATTTAAGTTTGCCCAAGTACGCGCAGCCCATATCTTCGTACGGTCCAGAAGGATACGCAGCCGCTGGAATGAATGCGGCGAATGGCTTCCTAGATGGGAATCTTTTAGGGTATGGCTACTGGCCGTTTACCCTGAGGCCCGAGGACAGTACGAGAAGTAGTACCGAGTCTGCTTTTCTTTCTCCGACAGCTGCAAAGACATCCTTGAAGATCTACCAGTCCTGCATGGTGCGTAAGCTTCTCTTCGATGAGTCCAAGCGCGCCATAGGTGTGAACGTCACCGTCGCTGGGATGAAGCCGTTCATCGTCCATGCCCGGAAAGAGGTCATCGTCTCGAGTGGTTTTATTCATACTCCCCAACTACTCATGGTTTCTGGAATCGGGCCGCGTGAGGTGCTCGAGCGACACAATATAAACGTTCTCTCAGACCTCAGCGGCGTGGGTCAGAATCTCCGAGACACACCCGCTATTGGTGGTGTCGTCCATCGCACGAACGTTCCTGGAAGAAGTGCCTGGGAGCGCCAGTCATCATCTTTCGAAGCCGCTGTTGAGCAATACTTGACGAACGGATCTGGCCCGCTCAGTAGTCCCGCGAGCGATTTCGCCGCCTGGGAAAGGTTTCCCGAGCGCTTTACGACGAATATGAGCCAATCAACTCTCGACTTTTTGCGGAATCTACCAAGCGATTGGCCGAACGTGGAGTATGTTTTGCAAGCTTCAGAACGCATTCTGTCCTCGGCCCAGGCTGCTAGCGACACGGGTGTCATAGGCACAATCTTGACTTCCACCACGAGCCAGGGAAATGTTACCATTCAGTCGGCTGACAATGCTGTTGCACCCATCGTCTACGTCGGCTGGCTTGATTCGCTCGAAGACCAGGAACTTGCTGTAGCGGCATACAGACGCGCGCGCACGATTGCAGCCAGCGTATCCGCGTTTGGAGAAGAGATAGCGCCGGGGGCGAACATCACGACCGATGCGCAGATCTTACAGTATATCAGGACGAAGGGTATGGGCGCTATTCATCACGGCGCCGCGACGTGCGCGATGGGAAGAGATGCATCGAGCGGAGCGGTCGTAGACTCCAAAGCTAGGGTGTTCGGCGTGAGTGGCCTGAGGGTTGTGGATGCGAGCTCTCTGCCGTTCTCGGCACCAGGACACACGCAGGGTGTCACTTATGCACATGCGGAGAAGCTGGCGCAGGATATCATTGATGCAGCAAATGATGTCCAGACTAATGTAACGTGAGAAACAACACCAACGCACTCGGAGCATGCGATCACACACGAGTCTGCGATAACATCAGCGTCACGAAATTCGATGAGCTGGATGATCATCTTACAATGAATATGACCGTCCAGAATAGCGTCAAATAGAAAAAGTACCACATCAGACAGTGACGAAGGTGGCCATACCATGACATGGGTTCGCGCTTACCCGACAGTTTGTCAAGCAGGGGCATGGTGAAGAAGGCGTGTAGTGGGGCAACAACAAACATGAA